AAATATAAATATTTAAAGGCAATACATAGTGATTGTTACACAATGATATTAGAGAATGGTGATAAAATACCATTGTCGCATACTCTGTGCCAGTGCCTTACTATAAATTGTATTGGTGTAAATGTGATGAATTAACATTGATCAGTAACCTACTGAAAACAAGTAAATTTAAAAAAAGATAAAGAAAAAAATCTCACAAGTTTAAGATAAGTCCATAAAGGGCATTCAAGGAAGAGGAATCGAACATTTTTTCTATTTTTTAATTTAGTGAGGAAGGGTTACTGTTGTCTGTGTCCCTGTTGTAGAGATTACTGCTTATTTCCTGTCTCAGAAACATGACATAAACCAAACCTCCAAAGATAGGGCCCCTTTGACAATTGACACTGAAATGTGTCACCATTGGGAGCTTTCATTCTACCTGTTGTTCCAGTGGCATCTATCTAATTTTTGATTTATTTTCTGTGCAAGTATGCAAGGGTAGAACTCTCCAATGGGACTAGAAAAAACAACCTGTCAAAGATTCTAACCATTCTATACAAAACTAAAAAAAAAAGAAGTTTGGGCTGGAGTTGTTTCCAAGTTTTTGTATAATTTTTGTGGTTCATAATTCCGTGACTTATCAGCAGTTCTACAATCATCTATTTAGTTTCCTTTACACTATATCTATTTGGCTAGTCATCAGTCTATTAAAATTAACTCTAATCAAAGACGATTAAATAACAAGAAAGGTCAATGTTACCAGACTGTCCCAGTGTTCTTTTGAGGCTGGCGGTTTAATATTTGTCATTCTGAATGTAGAATATGACTGCAAAGCCCTCATTGGTTGACTCCACATACAGTACACTGAGGAATGTGTTCCAATGACCTCACTATCTGGTTTCTGCTGTATAAAAACCTGTGGAGCTTTCCAAAAACAACACATTAAAATAAAAGATATCTTTATCATTGCTTGTTTTTGTAATCAAGATATTCCAATGTAGGATAAAAATCTAACAATTTAAACATAATTTCATAACGATATTAACTTTGAAAGTGTCTAAGTGTCAACGTGATAAAGAAAGGGACCAGAGAAAACAGTATAAATAGGTATGGCTGTCCAGGAGAAGTCAGTACAGAGGCAAAGATGACTAAGCTTATCCTCCTCACTGGTAAGTTAAAGCTCACCATACTATAATAGGCTTTTGTATGTCACTTTGTGTGATATTTTATTAACAAGCGCTGTATTATGTGGTTTACAGCTAAAAGCATTTTTGGTTATAATATTCAGGATGCCATGCAAATCCAAGTTTCATTCTTCTTCCTGTAAAATGAATATTGATGTGTTATACATGTTTTATCTTTTATTAAAAGGCTGGTCTACCTAAAAGTGATATGTTAGCAATAGTAGGAACCTGGTGGGCTCAGTCATCCCCTGGCTATTTATATGTCTTGGATACTCCAATAGCAAGCTCTCCATCTCATAATTCTTACCTCCCTTACTGCCAACCTGGAATATTTGGGTGTTCCTATCAACCCCTGAGTTTGTTCCAGCCCCACCTGCTGCACTATTTATAATCCAACAGGATGAGTGAAACCCTCTGATAATGGCCACAGCGGTGCATATCTAGGAACTCAAGTGGAGAGATTTCTACAATTGAGTCTCCAAGAGATATACCAAAATCAATAAGTAGAAAAAAGCTATCTGGGAGGTTCCTTCATATTTTTCACGCCAATATATACATGTTGTAGCAATATGCAACTGCTCATAGAGAAGAGGTATCAATGTGAATAACAGTGTTTATTTCATGATGGACTTAGCAATAAGCCATTTTCTATGTGCCAGAAATTGTTTTGCACAATTATGGTTTCCGTACTCACATTGGCACACTTTTACAGGTCTTTAAAGTGAAATTGTAAGTAGAGCTGCAGCTAACGATTATTTTCAAAATCGATTAGTTAGCCGATTATTAAGTTCGATTAATCGGTAACATAAAAGTTGACATTAGTAACCTATTAAAAATGTAGGGTCAGCTCTTGTTTTAGTGATCCTGACTCCAACCGCTAGTAAGTTACTGACATGGAACAAGCACACAGTCAATGAAGTCTAAAAAGTCTGAACTTGCCCTGCAAAGTCAATGATGATTGGAGATTGAGTCTAGAGTGAAGCTGCAGTGAAGCTAGGATAAGGATGACAGTTTAGAGCCTGCATGTATAAAATAAGTTAGCAATGGAAGCTTGCACACAAGTTTGTTCTAAAAAGAGATAGACAATCCAATAGTCTAATGAAAAAGTAAACAGCTCAAACTTTCCTAACTGTACATGGTGTGTTGTAGAAATGTCACGCTTTTATGCTGTGAATGGATGAATAGTCACATACATGTATATGGCATTTCATTTCCACTTGGCTAAAGGAAGAATAAGCCATACAACATGTATCACAGTATTTATCATTTTTTAAATATAATTCTCCCTCATTGAGGTTAATTTAAAGAAAAGCTAAGCTATATCTTCAGTGAACACACATTCTGAGTTTTTGTTAGGTGAAAAATAGAGTCATTAAAGCAGGCTACATGTAGCAGTCTGTGCAAACTATTCAATCCCACTTAGATTTACCAATAGCTATGGACACTGGGGTCCTACAGCTAGTTCAATATAGATCCAATAGATCCAAATAGATTCTACAATCTGATTGCAACATGAAATTTTAACATGTTTGCCATCTCAAAACTGGCTTTTTAGTTTAGAGGGCAGTCTAATGTGAATGCATATTACAGCTGCCATCAAGAACACTAATTATCTGACAGTTCCATGAACAGGAATGTTCTACTTGCCAGAATATTCCTCTTCATATCAATGGAGTGGTAGGGAAGAGTAGATGAGTGGCATTGCCAGATGCTGTCATTAACGCTTATGTGGTAAAGAAACAATGGCTATAAGGGGTAAGTTTTATGATCTGCCTGATCAACTGGCTAGTAGGAATCCTACTATAGATATAATACTGCCACCAGATCTGGCTGCAAAAGGACCAAAGCAGATTACAGTCATCTTATATCTATGGATACCCAGGCTTCCCACTTCCAGTCAGCTTAGTAATAGCTGATTTTTAAATTGCAGCCTTAAACATACATTGTGCAAACTTTAGGACATACGTACATTGTGCAAACTTTTTTGTGCAATTAAAGGACAACTCTAGATGTATAGTTATAATATTTAAGTGAAATTCAAAAACATTTTTTCAGAGTGTAAAAGCCTCTACTCTTTGCACCTTTGCTTCATCTCCTGCCTGCTCTTTGAAATACTAGTGGACACTATTGCACTGTTGTCATCCACCCTTCATTCTCTTTCTCCTGTAAACCTATTTAAGTATCTTCCCCTCCTGTCCATCAGCTTATAGAAAAGCCATCTACAAGCCTAATTTTAGCTTTCAGATGGAACATAGGAATACAGATAACAACTTGGTTTTAGGTTTTTCTACATTTTATTTTAAAACAACACTTATTTCAGTGTGAGATTTCATACCATGCTTGATAAAGTAACCTAAAGGGCCTTGAAATGTGTATTTTCTGTGTTAGAAACTAAAATGAATCATCTTATACTTAAAATGATATCTAAATTGTGCAAAAATGTAATTAATTAATTGATTGTACTGCTGTATGAACCTAAATGCAATATTTACCAAACTGTATTGTATGCCTTTTAGGGTTGGCACTCCTGCTGAATGCTCAGATAGGTAAGAGCAATATGTTTTTAAGATTAACTGTTAATAAACTATGTGCAGTTTAAGACTTTTACCTGAATTAGAATAGATGAAGATTGAAGATATTAATAAAAACTCATTACTAAGAACATTTAAACATTTAAAAATACTGCTCTGTTCATCAAGTATATTTCTTATGTATTTGTTTGTTTTTATATTAATAAATTATGTACTGTTTTACATATTATGTATGTATATTCTTGTTCCACCTAGGCTCTGCCTACGAGCTGTCATGCTACTTTACAAACTGGGCCCAATACAGGCCTGGACTGGGGAAATTCAAGCCTGACAACATTGACCCATGCCTATGTACTCACCTGATCTATGCCTTTGCCGGTATGTCCAACAATCAGATCACCACCATTGAATGGAATGATGTCACCCTGTACAGCTCTTTCCAAAACCTGAAGAACCAGTAAGTGGTATATTCCTAATGTTATAAGTATAAAATAGTATAAATGACAAGATCTTAGTAGTATGCAAACACATAGATGCTTAACTGCAGCATTATAATGCTATTAATCTAAAACAAAAAAAATTGGCATATTTGGAAAACCTCATTCTATGTTGCATCTACAATGGAAGTAGTATAAAAGAGATACAACCAGACTATGCCAAAACCACTGATAAATATAATTATAATAATAATTATTATTATTAATTATAATTATAATTCAGCAGCTTTGGTTTAATCCCAACATGCTGCTAGTGATTGAAAACACGTACAGTACGTAAAGGACAATTTGATTTTACTAATCTAATGGCAATTCGTTACAAAACAATGGTTTACAAGTACTTACCATTGTGGAAAATACAATATTTGTTGCTATAGTTGCTATTTAAACAAAGAGTTACAGATGTGCCAGCATAAAGCAATTCAAATTAATTAAAGCAACAATAATTTTCACCTCATATGAACTGGCGCGGTGACTTCATGCATATGATCTCATATACATCAGTATTACCATTTGTAGAATCAATACAAAAACTGCACATCACTCTGTTGCTGAATGAATTGGTATATGCAACCAACTACGTATCAGATTTCCACAAAATCTGTGGAACTTTTATTAATTAAACTTCGATGTATAAAAGTTTACTCTTGCAACCCCTACACTTCAGAAAATTAATATTTTTAAACAGATTGGTTTTGCTAACAGTTGAATCATTCACAAAATTTTATACAATTTCTCTTTTCAGGAATGGAAACTTGAAAACTCTTCTGGCCATAGGAGGTTGGAACTTTGGAACCGCACCGTAAGAATAATTCAGATCATTATATTGTGAGAATACTGGACTATACATATAGCTTCCTAGATTCCAGCAAGTTTGCTTTTCTTTTTCTATCCTTAGTTTCACCCAGATGGTCTCTACAGCTCAAAACCGTCAAACATTTATCTCATCTGTGATCAAATTCCTGCGTCAGTATGGGTTTGATGGGCTGGACTATGACTGGGAATACCCTGGATCAAGAGGAAGCCCACCTCAAGACAAAGCCCTCTTCACTACTCTGGTTCAGGTACACTCATACAATTCAGCTTCTGGGAAGAAGTGAAGGACTTTAGGATCATATGTAACTCTGATTCTAAATTGTCAGTGAAATAAAATCAATTTTATGTCAACAGGAAATGAGAGCAGCTTTTGAAACTGAAGCTTCACAAACCAACAGACCAAGGCTCATGGTGACCGCTGCTGTGGCTGGTGGTATCTCCAACATTCAATCTGGTTACCAGATCCCACAACTTGCTCAGTAAGCATCAGAATATATAATCTAATATAAATAGTCATTGAACTTTACAAATTGTCTGAATCTAGACATACAGGCTGGCATGTCATTCTACTGGAAATAATCAATGATAAGAAACTAAAAAAAAAAGTGAGCATGGTTTACTGGTAAATGAAACCTGTCTGTGAACTCGCAAATTCTTTGTTCAGCTGAAATCTGCTAGTTGCTGGACTGTCAGCTACCTGGCCTCGACTTTTTGTTTTCTGTGCAGTGTGTGAGGCTAGAAGCTGACTGGCAGCAATTCTCCTTGATACTCCAGGTAAAGTGTCAGCCTTAGACAACATAACTAAAGCTGGAAAGGAGAAAATGATATCTCTTTTATAAGTAAGCCTGTACAGTTACAATAATTAAAAAGTGACTTGTCTAATTCATACATAAACACAATAGTGACAGGTTTAATTAAAGTTAAAGGACAGCAAATGTCTAGTTTAAAATAAATGATCACAGTAAAGAATGTACAGCATACCTGCACAAAATATTAGATCCGGTGACAACACAAATAAGTACTGTTTGTGATCCTTTTTTTTATTTTTACAGATACCAAATGTCAACAGTTATTTTTCAGAGCTCAACTATGTTGTTGCAAGTGCACTAATATGTCTATAATCACCTTTAGGATTTATGTGCAGCCAACATAGGCCAGAACCTAGGGCAGAACACAACAACCCATGTATCTTGGCAAGGCATTTCATGTATCATAAATGGTTCCAGAATGCTACCCTGTCTACTAGTGCATACCAGCTGTATCCTTATTACTGTTGCATTATTGTTCATTCATTGTTTAGAGTATTGTGTACTGTATATATTACCCACTCTGGTTCCAAACACCTAAGTCAGAATGGCTAGCAGTGTAGAGCAACATTTTGCCCCATTCTTCCAGAGTTCTAGGTGTATGGAGGAAAGTGAGTAAATTGCCTCATTTAGCCTCATTGCCTCCAGCAGTGTGCCTTGTGTGGCTATGAAGCTGTAATCTTTTGTAAAGCTAATCAGCTGGATGAGGTAGGTGGCCATCTTGACCATAGATATCTGTATATATCACTTCAATACTATATTTTTTCTAATATTTAGGGCTCTGGATTACTTCCATGTCATGACCTATGATCTGCATGGCTCATGGGAAGGGTACACCGGAGAAAACAGCCCCTTGTATTCTAACCCCTCTGCCACTGGTGGCAACTCCTATCTGAATGTGGTGAGTATTCATTAGACAACAGGGCTGATTTGCTAAAGCTGAGAATCTTCTCTCAAACAAATGTGTAAGTATTCACTTCAATAATTCAATTGAGTGAAAAGGATTTCCACCTGGCTGGGTTTTTAGAGTGAACAGGAATTTCCTTTTCATATGACTGAATCATTAAAATGAATATCCACATATGTTTTTAAGTGAAGATTCTCAACTGCTTTAGTAAATTAGCCCCCATATATCAATAATGATGCTGTGATGATAAGTGTAAGTGCATCTCAGCTAAACAAGTTTAAAATATGTATCAGTAAAGAACATATCACAAAATAATAGCTAGATAAAGTTACAACTGTATTCACATCCATAGTCACAAACATATGGACTAATATATCTATCCCTTGCAGGATTATGTCTTGAACTACTGGTTGAACAATGGTGCACCCGCTTCAAAACTCATTGTTGGCTTCCCAACCTATGGACACACCTTCATCCTGAGCAATCCATCAAACACTGCCATTGGTGCCCCTACTTCTGGAGCTGGCCCTGCTGGACCTTACACCAGGCAATCTGGATTCTGGGCCTACTACGAAGTAAGATTGCAAGGTTATTTGCAGAGGTCTACATAAAGCAATATTTACTTGTCACAGGGTATTATGCAAATTATCCTTTAAAGTCTACTTTAAACTGAGTACACTTTAAGAATTGCTGGTAGTACAATGTAGAACTTCCTGAAGTATTACTTTATATTCCCCTAATATATTCTGCAGTGAAAAGTACATTAAACCATTTACACAATTGTAAGTGCTACAACTGTTACAAAGCATACCATCACTTAGTCTAAAGTCTAATATGGCTTTGGGTTGTGGGAGAAAACCAAAGTGTCTATCATAAGCATATGCAAAAACCTAGATAACCTACAATCCCTATTCAATAAATTCCATAGATGTCCATTATTTTATTGGAAATTACTGTTAGGGTCTGGATAGAAAAAGATATGAATATTTGACATTTTTTTAATTCCCTCAGATCTGTACTTTCCTGAAGAACGGAGCTACCAATCAGTGGTCTTCTGCTGAAGATGTTCCTTATGCCTATCAAGGAAATGAGTGGTTGGGATATGACAACCAGAAGAGCTTCCAGATAAAGGTGCTTTTATTACATATGTAAAAAAAAACCCCAGAAATAAACAAAACATAGAAACCGAGACTTACACAACATTTCATATTTTTTACCTGCAGGCTGAATGGCTGATGAAGAACAACTTTGCTGGTGCAATGGTCTGGGCAATTGATCTGGATGATTTTACTGGTACTTTCTGTAACCAGGGCAAATATCCTCTGATCAGCACACTGAAGAGCGCTCTTGGTATACAGGCTTCTGGTGAGTTATGCCTTAGTTCATACAGGTTCTACAATATGCATTTTAACTGCTGAAGTTTTCTTTAATGTGTACAGTAATTATATAAACTCTTGATTCAAAAACTACCAAAAAGGAGCTTAAACACATTCTGATATTCTTCTCTCTTCCTTTACAGGTTGCTCACCACCCTCTTCTCCCATTGCTCCAATCACAGCTGCCCCAGCCACTGCTGCTCCAGCCACAGCTGCCCCAGCAACTGCAGGCAGTGGGAGCTCTGGCAACTCTGGAGGGAGTGGATTCTGTGCTGGAAAAGCCAGTGGCCTCTACCCAGTAGCTGGCAACAAAAATGCTTTCTGGCATTGCCTAAATGGCATCACCTACCAGCAGAATTGCCAGGCTGGTCTGGTCTATGACCCAAGTTGTGAGTGCTGCAACTGGGCATAATCAGGATCTACAGTAGGAAATGCTAATGTATTTTACTTCTAAAGTTACTTGGAGACCACATAACTGAGTTCAGTGCTACAAAAAAATAAAGTGTTTGGCATTATTAAACTTGTTAGTGTGTTATTGTCTACTGTGTAACAGAATGCAGCTTATACTATAAGCACTTCCTCATAGGTGTGGAGATAGGTCACCTGCACTCCAAAATGTAAGGAAAATATCATTTATTGGAAAATATTGTCACATTGGTCAAAATAGCCAGCATTTCAGGGCTGTGCAGGGTCCCTTCCCACATACAGTGTTACAGCAGAAACAAACACAGTATTAGGGCTGACACATGAATGCATAGCAAGGCTGATTTACTAAAGGAGTTTAGAATTCTCACCTAATAAATTGAATGAATATTCACTTCATTTCTCTAATTATGTGAAAAGCAAATTACAATTTATTTATTTAACCTGCACATCTGCTGTAATTAACGTGAACTCCACTTCAATTTATTGAGTAAACATTCTCAACTCATTTAGTAAATCAACCCCTTGCATACACAGTGTCAGAGCTGGAGACACGCAGTATTACTGTAGACATAAATAAAGTCAAGGAAGACACACAACATTTCAGGGTAGGCACACACACAGTCTCAGGACAGTCACATGACCACACTTACACAAGCACCAGCACACGATGATCTTCCAAAGAAAATCAAACTTTATTCCACATGCATCTATACAAAAAACAACTGTTACAAAGCAATAATAAATCTCGAATGGGACATCCTAAAACATTTAATGTGAAAATGGCTTCATGTAGCTTAATGTACCATAATGTGCCTAAACCTCAATCAAATGCCTTGATCCCTAGACCCGTACCCAGCCGCAGCAAGCCGATGTACAGCTGATTTCAGTCGGTGTGCGGCTGAAATCAGTCATACAAGCCTGAAGTGAATAGCCGAACAGCATTCGGCTCACTTCACTTCGGGTCAGTTTCAAGTTTCAAGGCAATTGATTGAGGGTTAGGCACATTATGTTACATTAAGCTCTTTTTACATTAAAGGAGAACTATGAGATGAGTGATTTCCACTCACCTCATAGTTCTAATCCGACCTGTGACAATGAGACTGTCACAGGTCGGCTCAGTAGATCGGGAGGTGAGGGAACACATACCGGGTTCCCTCACCTCTCGATCCTGTCACGGCTCTCTGCCGTGACAGGGGGAGGGGCTGGATTCCCCTCTCCCCGCTCCGATCTGCCAGCGCTGACTGGCGGAACGGACGGGGGAGGGGGCGGGTACAGCTGGCTCTACCTCTAGATAGGCAGAGCCAGCTGTCACTCACGCAGCTGGGCGGATCCCGTCATCTACGTCGGGATCCGCTCCAGGTGCGGCGTCTCAGTATACCGCGAGCTGTAGCTCGCGGTATACTGAGCTTAGGGTGACGGGAGGACGCTAGTTTGTGTCCTCCCGTTACCCTAAGGAGAACTATGGGGAAAAACACTGACCCCATAGTTCTCCTTTTAAGCTAAATGTTTTCGAAAAGGAAAAAAATTGTTTAATGTGAATAACTTTTGGTATGTTTTATCAAATAACACAAAATATTCAGAATATGTTGGCATAGAGAGAGTCTTGTAGTATGGGAGGTTTGGGGGAAATTGGTTAACATCTAAGTTGTTTTTTGTACGTTAAGCCACATTAAGCTCCCCAAAAAACAAGCTTAATGTCACTCATTTGCCTTGTGGCTAACCAAAATCCATGAACCGTCCAGGATAGGTGTGGGAAGCTGAGAACTTTGGTTGTGCAAAGTTTCAAGGCATTTGATTGAGGTTTAGGCACATTATGGTACATTAAGCTCTTTTTACATTAAGCTGTTCACATTAAATGTTTTAGGATTGTAATAAAATAGTTTAATGTGAATAACTTTTGGTATGTTTTATCAAATGACCCAAAATCTTCAGAATATGTTGGCATAGATAGAGTCTTGTAGTATAGGACATTTGGGGGAAATTGGTTAACATCTAGGGGTTTTTTTTGTACGTTAAGCCACATTAAGCTCCCCAAAAAACAAGTTTAATGTCACACATTTGCCTTGTGGGTAACCAAAATCCATGAAAATTCCAGGATAGGTTTGGGAAGCTGAGAACTTTGGTTGTGCAAAGTTTCAAGGCAATTGATTGAGGTTTAGGCACATTATGGTACATTAAGCTACATTAAGCCATTTTCACATTAAATGTTTTAGGATGTCCCATCTCGAATCACTAGCACTAAACTAAAATGTATGTACACGAATGCTAGAAGCCTAGCAAACAAATTAGAGGAGCTCGAACTTATGTTACTTGAAGACGACTTCGATATAGTGGGAATAACAGAAACCTGGCTAGACAGCTCACATGACTGGGCAACTAATGTACAAAGGTACAACCTGTTCAGGAGGGACAGGGTTGGTAGAAAGGGGGGTGAGGTATGCATGTATGTCAAAAACAACCTAACTGTACACAGACGAGATGACCTCATGACAGATAGTAGCGATGGTGTTGAGTCTTTGTGGCTAGAACTAGATAAGACTGAATCTAGTGGTAAACCTATTGTGGGTGTGTGTTATAAACCGGGGAACCTATTGTGGGTGTGTGTTATAAAGGGGAAGAGGAGGAGGCTCACCTGCATTCCCAAATTTTAAAAATAAAAGATCGAGAGCTAAGCCTGCATGGCTAAATAAAACAGTAAGACAACACATCAAAGAAAAGAAGCTGGCATTTAAAAAATATAAGATGGTGGGGACTGCATTGCCATTCCTGAGCTACAAGGAGTGCAATAAAATATGTAAACATGCAATCTGGGCAGCTAAAAAAGATTACGAAAAGCAAATTGCCACAGTCTGTAAGAAGAACCACAAAAAATTCTACCAATATATAAACAGTAAAAAGGTATAAAAAAAAACGAGTGGGCCCAATAAAAGATGAGAATGGAAGATTAATCACAAACGACAGGGAGAAGGCTGAGGTCTTAAATTCATTTTTTTCCTCAGTATACACTCAAGAAAAAGACGAGTTTAATGGAGATAAGAATGTGAGTTGCTTGGTACATAAGATACCTCAATGGTTGAAGCACACATACACACACACACACACACACAATATCCAGCTCAACACACAGACAGAGAACAGACAACACACGTCATGCACACACAAATACTTCATGATACCACTTATTATTGTTGTGGTAATTATTGTTAGAAGAGCGTGAAGGCCGCAAACTGCATTTCCATTCCTGCTCCTAACACAGCACTGACTTTCTTTTTGCATGTATTGTCCACATGTGGGATATTTCTGGACTGTGGGAACTGGGATTTAACACAAAAGCACATGTATACATGCACAATGTGGGGAATTTATCAAACGAGCAGGCACAATCTGGAGCAGTACCAATCAGCTTCTATCCTTCATTTTCAAAGCTTAACTGAACAAACTGAAGACAAAAGCTGATTGAATCTGGAGCAGCCCATAATAGCCAGTCTGCTCCAATTTTGATAAATTCCGCCCAGTGTTCTCAGCAACACGGCACATGAGGTCAACCCTCTGATAAACCTGCAGCATTAAGATATGAGCCACAACAACATGTAGACATATCGTCCATGTAATGGAGACTGTTAGGTGACACAATGCATTAACAACATACAAAGGGCTACAGGGTGAAGGTATTATGTGATACACAGGCACATGGAGTAAAGCAAATGGGGTTTCAAAATAATAAACAGAAAATGTAACACTGTTGCTGTCGTATTCATGCAGCCATCTTTGATGAGCTGTGTCCCAACACGGCCATATTACTGGAGTTTACATGCTGCATTCCAGATGGCCATGCTAATTTATTATTTGCGATTGAACAAATGCCCTCCATGTTTGTGAAGTCCACCTGGCATAGCTGTGTGACTCTAGCCCAGCCATAATGTTAAGCTGGTCATACATGGCTTAAATTTCGGCCGATTCCTGCTAAACTGGTCCAAATTTCAGCTGTGGTTCAACAAAAGTCAATTGTTCCATATGCATAGGCTTTATTACACTGCTCCTGGACATAAATCCTCATGCTCATGATTCTCCTAGGTGCAACACTAAGGGGTCCTTTAAAAAGACCAGCTCCCCCCTCCCCACAATGACATAGCCTCAGGTAGTGAATACCTTAGGGACAGCCTTGGCTATAGGATTGCAATATGCTATAGTTAAACGATCTGGTTACATACTGTCTTGGAAAACCATAATTAAAGATAATTTCTAACTGCAAAGGACATAGTTACATAGCTGGTCTGGTTAAGAAAAAAGTTTTAACCAATAAAAAAAAGTAAAAAAATGAATTGAAAACAGCATTCACAGAACTGAGACCTCGTTTTTACTTGTGGCGCACGTGACCGCCATTGTATTTTTCCACGTTTGTGCGTGTTTTGCTATGTGTCAGTCCATCATTTCAATAGGCTGCCCCACACATGCTAAATGTGGCAAAGAAGCTCATGCAGCAATTTGAGCTGTGAGCTTCACGCATTTTTTGGCCATGTGCTTTTGCATATTTGCCACGTTTTTCCAGCCGCGTTTGGGGTGCCATTAACAAGCAATGACACTGCAATCTCGTCAATTGTTTTTACTGCGTTGCGTGAACACGCTCCAGATTTTGTCTGCTCCAGCTGTGATAAACTCCCCTCAAACTCCCCTCAGGTGGTCAGTGCGGGCTCTCAGGCAGTCAGTGCGGGCTCCAGGCAGTCAGTGTGGGCTCCAGAGTTAATATATTGGAAGGGGCACCAAACTCAGGAATTAAATCTTAACAATGCATTCAAGTACCTTAACTATTAACAAAAATGTGTCTGATTTGTGTATCATTCAGCTGTAAATCCTCAAATCATCTCTGAATTGGTGCTGACACTGCAGGGTGGCTACTTTTGTTCCCCATGAAACCTCATGTTTAGTTTACTCATTTTTATTGAAGTTATAGTCCATCACAGGAGTGAGCTTGGAGTGGTGGCTACTTTACAACACACAGGGACCATGGGGAACAAAAGTAGTCACCCTCCAGAAGGAAGGACAGTGTCAGAACTAATTCAGAGATGATTTGAGGATCTACAGCTGAGTGATGCACAAATAAACTACATTTTTGTTAATAGTTAAGGTAGTTGAATGCATTTTTAAGATGTAACCCCTAATTTCGTGTCACTTTAAGGTGTGTCTTACACATGAGGGTCTGTGTCAACTGCTTAAACAAAGTCTACATATACTATAGCCACAGCCACTGTCTGTTTTCATAAAAAGGAAGTCGATTTGTAACCCTCATCAATCTTTTTGAATATCTTGCATTTCCACATCCCTATAAATCGTGTTCAGCTGCACCAGCAGGGGGAGCCATGACCTCTTTCATGAATGAATCCCAATCCATTATTAAGTGACATACTGCTCTGAGTTCCACCCTCGTAGTCATAGCAACAACATGTACACAAAGTATCAGCAAGCATGGAGCATGAACCAGGTAAGACTGGGTTGGCATCACAATCACATGCAGAGATATGAAGGGGTTAAAGTGAAAAATTATTCAAGAACTCTTATCTTTTTCTCATAGTTTAAGTAAAATTAAAAAAAGGAATGTATTTCATTTTAACTGAAAATGTAACATATGCTTAGCTCCCCATATTATTATATACAATTGTCATGTGATCATCATTCTCACTTGCATGTGACATGTGTATCAGATACATTTAATGTGCATTCACATTAAATGGATTCAGAGGAATAAAATGTGTTGTAACACAGGGGTAAATATTGGGAAGGGGGGGACTAAAAAGTGTCTGAGACACAAATGATCTCAACAGGTGTGGTTGCCTATAGCAACCTATCAGCTTCTATCTTAAAATGTGTTGAAACACAACAGGACATGTTAGGTGGGGGAATTAATAAAACATGTCTGAAACTAACTATGGCAACTGGTGTAGCAACCAATCAGCTTTTATCTTTTTTTTTTTTTTTTGCACAGTGTAGAAAATTAAAATGTAAAAACTGATTATCTGCTTTCCAGATGAGACAAAGGCTGCTGGCTGTCACAGGCGGCTGCGAGGAGGAACGCTCTGCTGTTCAAATCACTGACAACCTGTCAGTGATCTATGCAGCGGCACGTTCCTCCTTACAGCCACTGCTGAGTCAGTGACAGCCAGCAGCTGCGGAGGAGGAGGCTGGGCCCCGTGTTGGCAGTGAGAAGGAGGCGGTGGGGTCTGGCGAAGGAGGAGGAGGCGGAGCCCGCCAGCGACCGTGGAGGAGGAGGCGGACAGCGGCTCGGGGCCACATGAGACCCTGCAGAGCCCATCATAGAGTCTATGGTGGGCTCTGCAGGGTCACTCTCGGGTGGGCTGTTTGGGATCTCAGATGGGCTCTGATTTCTAGGTACGCCCCTGCTTTAGATGCTGCTTTGTTGGTGCTATAAAATGACTGGCCGTTTGAACAGGTAACTCAAGTTGAACTGAAGCCAAAACTTTTTGTAGTTTTGGATAGGGTAAGGGACAGTTATAACACCTGTCAGTTTCTTATGCCATCTGTGTCCCATTGGGCAGATTTTCCATCACTTCCTGCCTGATAGCCTCAACGAGAAGTGAGAGGAAATTAAGGGTCTGGCATGACTTTAAGGGGGAACCCCACACACTTTTTTTGTGTGTTTTTTTAACATGGGGTTCTTCCTTAATATTCCTACTAGACCTAAAGGTCTGGTATGACTTCGAGGGGGAACCCCAAACACTTTTTTTTTTACACAGGGTTCCCTCCTAAATATTCGTACCAGACCTTAAGGCTCTCATATGACTTTTGGGGGGAACCCCACGCTTTTGTTTTTAAATGGGGTCCCTCCTAATATTCCTACCAGGCCTATAGGGTCTGGTATTGTTTGGGAGGGGGAACTGCAGACTTTAAAAAAAAAAGTCTTTTTTTTTTCTTTAGAAATGTTTGAAATGTCAGTTTTGCTGCAGCAGGTTCTATACATTGTACAGATCCGCCACTGCGCAGACAGGTTAAGGGGACACCCCAGGCACGATATATAAGGGAATTTTTCATTTTTATTGTTACCCTTTAAGTGATGTTAAAATCACTGCTCCTTTAAAAACTGTATTTTTTCAAAGTGCTTTTTTCATTGATTCCTGTCCCCCAGGGCAGTACCCGGATCCCCATACACCTTTTTTGGACAATAACTTGCATATAAGGCTTCAAAATGGGAACATAGACTACCCCCATAGACTTGCATTGAGTTTGAGTTCGAATACGAACTTTCCCCATGTTCGAAAATTCAAACTCGAACCAAACATGCCAATGTTCGGCTCATCGCTAATTGTGTGCAGCCAGGGCCAGCCTTTGGGGTGTTCGAGCTGCGCGCCGCACAGGGCGCCATGGTAACAAGCCTGCTACAGCCTGCGGCTTCTCTCCTCCGCACCGCTCGGCCATCCGACATGACAGCGCTCCCTCCTCCCCCCCCCCCTTCAGCGATGTCCTCGGATCCCCGCTGCCTGTATGGGCTGAATGCCTTCTGTTGTTTTATGTAATAATATATTGTGCCTACAAGTCAGGGATGTCTTTAACGCAGGGCAAAAGGGGCAGTTGCCCAGGGCCCAGTCATTGTTGTGGGGCCCAAAGCAGCTGCCCCTTGAGCAGGTCCTGCGCTGCAAAACTCCTACCACTGGCCCTGCATCTGAGCACTGACAGCTGAGCGCTGGATGATTGCAGAGCAGAGCGGGTCACACGGAGAGAAGAGCTGGGTGGACGCCCTCCCCCTCCGTGCTGTGTGTATGTGTGTGCTGGAGGAGATGGCTCTGCTATGACCCGGACTCCGATGTTCACTGGCCTTTGCATCTGGATCGGGGAGAGGGAGCCTGCCGGGTGAGGGGATTACAGTGTGAATCAGGGCAGCATGAACAGTGGGTGTCTGATGGGGAGGCTCTGCGTGTCTGTACTGGCTGCTGCATGTGTATATTAGGTAACACTGAATGTCCAGAGAGAGGGGTCACTATGCTGCTTGTCTGTATGGGATGGGGGTCACTACATGCTTTCCATGTACATATGATGGGGGACACTGCACACTAGTAAGTGCTGCATAGACAGTCGTCTGAGAGCACCAGCGTGGGGGGCGCAGGAAGAGGGGGTGAAGACTGCACCTTCACCTGTGTACACATTAATCCTTGCAGACTGCACCTTTGCACCAGGCAATAAGTATTTATTTCCTATGATCCTCAGCTTCATCTAGTGGCCATAATGGAGTATTTTCCTGATTCACTCTAATCTTATGAATGAATTACATTCGACTTGGAAAGAACATATGCTAATAATGTTTGTTTGTGCCCACACTCACACAGAACGAATGTACATGGCTCTGTGAATTTTATAAATACACTCCCAAATGTACAGTAGAAGTTAAATAGGACTATATAAAATAGCTTTACTGTCTCATTGCTACTTAATATTTTTCCCTATTGTGTGAGTGCTAGAATGTGGTTATTCATTTTAGTTTTTATTTCCAGATGCCTTAAAGAAAGTTTACTTTGGCAGCACACAGGATCGAAAACCTTTCCCATCTCACTGGGCACCAGACCGCTTGGGTAATGAGTTACCTCCTATCAGAGGGAAGCCAAATTGTGGGCCTGGATGCTACAACTATGAGGAGGTGAGCCAACAAGGTGGAAATCAGCAAAAATTACAGCCAAAGGCTAAACAAGAGTTTTATATATTATATAATATATTGATTGGTGCAGTGGCGTAACAACCATGATATATATGTGTGGGGGTGGGGGGTACAGTTCTAGTGGATGTTTATATAATATGGGGGGGGCGAAAAAAAAATTTCTGCCCCGGGCGCCCATAACTCTGGTTACGCCACTGGATTGGTGTAATGTATTCAAAGCTTTCTTTAACCACTTGATGACCAGGGTGTTAACCCCTTCATGACTGAGCTAGTTTTCAGTTTCTGTTCATAAATGACTGACACACTTTTAACATTTTTGCTGTGTGATTCTTCCACGGCAGTAATATACTTTCTTACTAAATGTACCCACACATATAATTAATTTATTATTTTACACTTTGTAAAAAAAAAGTGTAATAAAAAACAATTTTTTTTTGTCAGTTTATATCAAGCAGTCACTATGACTGCTTGATAAATTAACTTTTTTAATTTTTGGTTATTATTAGGCTGCTCCAAACTTAGGAACAGCTAATAATAACCTTAGAAACTGATCCTGACAGCATGCCAGATTCAGATCTCACTAAAGGTCTTTGATCCTGCTCAGATGATCAAAAGTGATACATTGTAACATTCCTGTGGCTGAAATGTATCATAAACATCGGGCCAGTCTATGGAGCTGTCAAAACAAATAGCAGAGAGGTGACTGACTCTGCTACCTCTCTGCTATTTTCAGCTGTCAAATACTGGATTGCTATTTAGCGCTCCCATATTTGTATGTAACGGCTTCATTCTTTCATTTATGAAAGAAAGAAGCCTTTACAAAAGCTTAACTATTTTATTAATGAATGTCTCAATACTGAGGCATTCATTAATGGCTGGTAACCGCTGACAATCAGCGGTTACCGGCATTACAGAGCCTTAAATAACTCAGTGTACAGTGTATGTCTCCCGTCACGAAGGGGTTTAACCCCCTTCCTGGCCAGGCCATTTCTCAGTATTCAGCGCTGCGGTACTTTGATTGACATTTATTCCGTCATACAACGCTGTACTGAAATGAATTTTATACCATTTTTTTGGGACAGGTAGAGCTTTCTTTTAGTGGTACTTAATCACCACTGGGGTTTTTATTTTTTACTATATAACAAAAAAAAAATAATGAAAACATTTTTTCGTACCCAATTTTTTGGTCAAATATAAAAGATGGGGTCACGTTGAGTAAATAGACACCAAACATGTCAAGCCTTAAAATTGCGTGCGGCCACGAAATCGGAAAAAAAAATATAATATCCAATATTGCCATATGCGACGCTTTAAAAGCTTTTACCGCTCATCAGTTTAGTGTTAACAGTAATTAATGGCCCTAGAATTATTGCTCGCACTCCAAGGTTCACAGTGAACGTGTGACATAATCATCGTTTTCACGAGTAGGCACACCCAACGCATGTTTGCATTTATATGTGTGTGTACATGCGGGCGGGGGGACTTTGAAAACATTTCTTTTGTGTTTTTTAGAAGTGACTTTCATTTTTAAACTTGCTTTTTTTCATTCTTATTTGTTACACTTTTGTGTAACAAATAAGTCCTCGACTGTAAACAGTGTTTACATTTCCCATTCCAATCGCGCACAGGGGATGGGGAGTGGGGTTAAGGGTTGTGGCGGTGGGGGGAATGGGACTGGACGCACTGGACTCTGGGCTTAGTAATGCCCTGGACTCTGGGCTTAGTAACGCACTGGACTCTGGGCTTACCTGAGACCCCGCAGAGCCCACCTGAGCGTGACCCTGCAGAGCACACCATAGATCCTGCACAGCCCATCTGAGACTCACTATGGTAGGCTCTGCAGGGCCTCAGGTGGGCTGGTCACCGGGGTCCCTTTCCCTGTGCATCCTCCCAACTCCTCTTACCTGCTGCTGCTGGGGCCTGGCTCCTCCACCCCCTCCCCTGTCACCTCTGCCATGCCACCCCTGGTACAGCTGATACTCATGTAAGAAGCCCCCCAGGCTGCCCAGACCCCTTACATCGGTACTGGCCGTATCCCCCTGATGGCGGTGTTCTATCAAAGTTTGTGACTACGTTACAATGTGTGACCGGTGACGTGGTCACACATTTCAATGTAATCCCGCCCAGTTTTTCGGCGGTGCAATGTGTGACCGCCAATAGGTCAAGCATTCCAACATTTTCTCAGCTGATCCAGGACAGATCGGCATCGGAAATCGTATGTGCAGGAGAACCGATCTGCCCTGGAACAGCTGTTCGGTCCTGAAATGTCACTTCTATCCGAGTTTGTGAGTGCGATCTCACATTTCACCCCACTCACAAAGTCAGATAGAAGTGACATTTCAGGACCTAGGACAACAATAGGATTTCAGGTTGATAATGTGAATCAAGGTGTGAATTATTTAACATATTCAACCGTTTATTTTTCTTTTACGTGCTTTGCAACGTTTTATTGTTAATACAGGTTAATGAAACAGTTACAAAAAAAAACAATGGTCTACACTAACCTATACCATCCAATCACATTTTAACAAGCATAAACGTTTCTGTGTAGAAAAAAAACACAAACCAGGGTCTTCTAGCATTTCTCTTCCCAGCCTTATTGTCCCTAATCCACTCCTTTCATTTATTGGATTTCAGTTTATTTATAGTATAGTATATAGAGGCTCAGCATCACATGTGGGCATTACCTAGGGTAGTCTGCAGGCAAACTAGGAATACCCAATGCTCCAGACCAACAGCCACCCATGAAAGCATTTTGATATTTGCATTAATCTGTTAAAGAGCCAGGCCACTGCTTGCATTGGGACTGAGGGAGGGTGCTGTGATGTGAGGGAGGGTGCTGTGATGTTTTCAGGAATCTAAGTACAGCACCCCACCGGCCCCTCTCTCCAGCCATGCATAGGGAAGCACAGAGACACACTGGATCTAAAATAAAGTATGTAATGAAAACGGAAAGGTTTTATTTCAAAATGTCATTATTATTTTGCTGAGGAGAGAGGGAGGAACCTGGGAAAGCAAAATAATAGCAGAGTAAACTTCAGCTTTAAAGAAGACCTCTGGGCATTTTTAAAAATTAACTCTTGCAGTGGGGCTACCAAAACAAGAAGAGTCTGTGAGGGTAATGCCACTGCAAGGGTTATTTTTTTAAATGCCTGGAGTTCTTCTTTAAACTTCCACATCTAAGATTTTGCAGATCACCAGAACTCTACAGCATAACTGTAACTCTCGCTGATGTATTTCTTGGATCCTACCCCAATCGTTAGAAACATGTCAACCACTACCAGACACCACTGAACGTGGTGCTGAGTGTTACAGTTATGTTGTATGGAGTTCTGACAATTTGCATATCGTACATTGGGTGCAAGTTGTATTTATTTTAATAAAATGGTTAATGTGCTTAGCAAGGTCAATGTGCTTTGTTTTCTGCTTTACTGCCACTGCAGACCTTCTTCTAAAAATACTGGTAGCCTGGCTGTCTTTGGCATCAATACTTTTTGAGTCACTAACTGAAACAAACATGCAGCAAGTGAAGTCAGTATTCTTAGCTACATAGTTGTTCCAGGTTCAGTGATTCAGGTAGCATTGACCAGACGACCAGCATTTTAAGCAGGATAGGTTAGTAATGGTAGATTACATATTCCCCTCAGTTTTTCAAGAACGCTGTTTAGTTATTTCCAATCTGATGAATATTGTCTATAGCTTTACTCTATCATCAGACAATGCTTTAGTTTTTCATAAAATAAAGTTTGTGTTATTGTTTTGTTTATAAATGTTCTGACTGCTGTGCACATAGAATGGCCATGGGTCCACTGCATCCTTATCGTTTTTATTTCCATTCCTTTAACGCTGCAGTTTGTTGCTCTATTACCCTGTGTATTTTATATTTTAGGTTACCAGCATGGTCCATCTTCAGAACAGGATACCCATGAGTAAGAAAGGGTACACTTTGGGGGCCAGAACAGCACAACGTTTCACTCCTAATGTCAAGGTGATAGTAAAAGAGCAGAATGTTAGTGGCTGGTATGAAGAATGACCTTGTGTGTATACCCCAAATTGAGGGCTGTTAGCTCTCGGCATCCATTTACTGAAATGTCAGTCATTCTTCATCATTGGTAAATAGCTGATTTGAACACCAGATGTTCCACCATTGATCTATTCAAATGCATAACTTTTATTTTTGCTTCTTAACGTTATTACTATTGTTATGCGAAACAGCTAACTTTGATGAATTACAGCGCATTGGAGCAATCCAATTCAATCTAAAATCCAACATGTCTTACAGGGTTCAAGCTTAAGAAATTCCATCGCTTAAACCCACTCCTTGCTTTCCAAGACTGGGTGTGCAGGTGCTAGCTAGGAGACGTCCACATTCCAAACAAATAAAGCTGACACAGGCAGGGCCGGTGCTAGACTGTTTTGCGCCCTAGGCAAGACCAGCTACTGCACCCCCCCAGCCCCCGTCTTGTGGTGCAACCCCCAAATATAAAATAGCCAATAGCATACTGGCTATTGAAAACCCACCCACTGAGCAGAGGAGCAGTCCTGAGAGAAAGTTGCCTCTCAGTTCCGCTCCTCGGTTCAGTGGGTGGGTGCAATAGCCAGCCTGCTATTGGCTTTTGCAATTTAAAATAGACTGGGAGTGCAATGGGGCAGGGGGGGGTGATCGAGGCTGCGCCTTAGATAACAGTGGGCCCTAGGCGGCGGCCCAGTTTGCCTAGTGGCAGCACCGGCCCTGGACACGGAAAAAGCCGTACATCGCCGTCTTCATTGTAAGACTTCATTGTATTCTGTCCCCACCCGCCCAGCCTTGGTAGCAGGGTGCACATGGGAAGGCTTGCAACAATACAAAACACAAAACAGGAAAATTGTATTTCATACTTACCATAATTTTCCTTTCCTGTCCAGCTCGATGGCAGCACACGAATGGGTTAATCCCTCCCTCCTCCCCCTAATCAGGATCGTAACTCATAAAAGCTGAAAGAGTCCCCTGGCTTGCCATTCCGTAACTCGACTACTATACGGGTGGGCCTTGTGCTGCCATGGAGCTGGACAGGAAAGGAAAATTACGGTAAGTATGAAATACAATTTTCCTGTTTTCCTGCCAGCTCCATGGCAGCACACGAATGGGAATTAACTAGCCAAAAACAGAGGTGGGTATGCTAGAAATGTTTTTAATCACAACTCATGGTAGAAGAAATAACCCTACGGCCGAATTCAACTTTAGTTAAGGCAGCTGGATCTACACAATAGTGTGCCATGAACGTGTGCGGAGAAGACCATGTGGCCACTTTACACACAGTCCCTAAGGAAACACGATTGGGTGCAGCCCATCATGTGGCCAGACTCCTAGTGGAATGAGCAGACACCCCACTTGGGACAGTTATGTGCTTGGCTTCATATGCTAACGATATTGCCTTCCCACAAATAACGCTTGTCAGCATCACCACCTAGCTGATTTACATTGATCAAAAGGACAAACTTTCGTTTGAGCATGTGCAGTTTGCATCTAGAGATTTTTATTGTACAAACACGCCATTAACCTGTCAATTTACATCCAAATAGACAAACGTTTTCTGCTGAAAGACAAAAAATCTCCAGATAATTGTAAGGTGTATGGGCACCTTTAGGCGCCCAGACCAAGTAGGAATATCTCCTCCACCCATAATGAGCAACAGCAGTGTACTTACACCTTGTTAGCCAGTCCCAGAGGATCACCAGTGGGGCTCCCATGGACCTGCACCATTTAGGAAAGGGCTCACAGGGATTCGCCAACTGAAGGAGGTAGAAGAAGAAAGCGGAAAGCAAGAACCTTATCCCTGCTAGGTAGGCACACTGCTCTGATCCTGACATGTAGGAGGAAAAAAAAGGAACGGCAAGCCATGGGACTCTTTCAGCTTTTATGAGTTACGATCCTGATTAGGGGGAGGAGGGAGGGATTAACCCATTCGTGTGCTGCCATGGAGCTGACAGGAAAAAAGTCCCCAGCACACCTGCTAGCTAGCAAAGCAAATTACAGTATGCGTTAAAAGCAGAGGTTTTAGTTGCACAAACTTTTAGCAAAACATTTGTAGAAGCCACACTGCCCTGCCAAGGCGCCTCTGTAAAGTGTGGTGCCTTGAAGGGGTTTTGTGTTTTGTATTGTTGCAAGCCTTCCCATGTGCACCCTGCTATAAAGGTTGGTTATAAATGTATGCGGTTACCATTTCTTTCTAGTTTGACTATTTTTGATATGGGGACGCACTGGGAGCCCCATCGTGCATTTTGGATTGCTGGGCCTCCAGTGCGTCCCTGCACCTTTTGAGGAGGAGTAGGCTACCTCCAGGTACACCTGCATTTAATTTATCAACTGCATTAATATGCTCCCACCTGGAGACTCATATAAATAGAGTTAGGACCACACTTTACAGAGGCGCCTTGACGCGGCAGTGTGGCGTCTACATATTTTTAGCCAAAGGTTTGTGCAATGAAAGCCTCTCTTTTAATACATACTGTTGACAGGGTAATTTGTTTTGTTGCAGGCTGGCTGGCAGGTGTGCTGGGGACTTTTTTGTGTTTTGTAGTGAGGATGAAACATGTCAGAGGTGGACGGTTCACAAGCAGGGATGGAATATTTGCGGGCTGTTTGAATGTGAATAAAGTTCTTACAATGAAGACGGCGATGTGCGGCTTTTTTCCTATGTCAGCTTGATGTCTTACATGGTTGGCTTGAACTGATACCAAAGCATTACACTATGTGAAACATAAAAAATAAACACCGGGCTCCTTTCCTGGTGCAAATAATCCTTTTATCTGTTTAGAAAGATTAAAAGTGATAAACGGTACTCACAAAAGAGGTGGATAAAAAGCGTGTTGGACATAAATCTCAGGATACATGCAGATTCCTAGCAGTCAGAGAAAACAATCCAAATATGCTGCTAGACCAGCAGAAACAAGCTGACTCAGCTGAACGCGTTTTCAGGGAGTTTCCCCTTCTTCAGAGCTCTGTTTTCTCTGACTGCTAGGAATCTGCATGTATCCTGAGATTTATGTCCAACACGCTTTTTATCCACCTCTTTTGTGAGTACCATTTATCACTTTTAATCTTTCTAAACAAATAAAAGGATTATTTGCACCAGGAAAGGTGCCCAGTGTTTCTTTATGTTTCACACAGTGTAATCCCTCATCTGAACACAAGATTCAAATTGTGGCTGAAGGAGGTGCTGGTTTGGCTTTTTGTGGAATTATGATGCCAAAGGATATATGGAAAAATTGCCTTGTTCTTGCATTGGGACTGTGTTGGTCATTGCAGAACAACGCTGCTGGTGTGAACAAGCCTTAAATATGTAAGTGTTATTGAGAAGTTTAATTACAATATATACAGTAACATTCAATTTATACCCGGGTAATGCTGTCTCAAAATGTGACACACAAGGCAAGGATTTAAACTGCAGTTCTGATTTCAAAGCAATTAAAGTGTGTGCAAAGCCAAAAAATGTTTTTGCTTTGGATAGAGTAGGGAAGAGTTAAAAGCCCTGCCAGGTAATATTTCTTTTTAGAAATTTTTCTTCATTTCCTAATTTATAGACACAACATGAAGTTAGAGAAAACCTCCCAAAGTTCTGAGAATTTCCCCTTAGACAGTTGTCACCAAAACAGGGGTCCCCAATGCTCCCACTCTCTATCCAAAACTAAAAAATATTTTTGTCTAGAGATACACTTTAAGGTGTAACAACTGCAACACCAAGCTGTATTTAACATTCTTTAATAACTGGCATTACTCTGGTACTAAAAATAGAGATAATGACGAGACGTTTTGCCACCTAAAAATATACACATCCCCTTACTATATGTGCCCAAGTTAGAGAAAACCTCCCAAAGTTAGGAGAATTTCCCCTTAGACAGTTGTCACCAAAACAGGGGTCCCCATTGGACATTTTCCCTTTGCCTCTTGGTATGAGGACAACTCCAAAATAGAGGAGGGAATCTCCCCAATGTGGATAACAATAAAAACTCGACAGTGGGTTTAACCCTCCCGGCTCTCTATCCAAAAACTAAAAAAGGTGTAACAACTGCAACACCAAGCTGTATTTAACATTCTTTAATAACTGGCATTACTCTGGTACTAAAAATAGAGATAATGACGAGACGTTTTGCCACCTAAAAATATACACATCCCCTTACTATATGTGCCCAATTACCTACAATGATGACCATATTTACAAGTTAGTGTTTATATGTCATAGCTATGTTTCTCATATTTAATGAAGGCGTTGCCTTTTCCAGATGGAGACTCCAAGTCCTTCACAATATCAGGCATTTTGGTCCAAAGAACGCACATACTCTGCAAGCTATGCTCCTTTCAATTTCAACGCTGCACGAATTCCAGAGAAGATGACAGATATCTCATTGAATCCTAGGTAATGTATTGAATTAGTATGTAACCATCACAGCCTTGGTAGTGCACATGTTGCCTTATTATATAATACTTACATTGATGGATATAAGATCTGAAAATATTTCATAGCACTCACTGGTTGGCTTATTTTTTCCACTTTACTTAAAGTTGGTTGTTGGTTCACAGTATTATATCAGTTACTATGTTTGTAGTTTGCTGTGTTCACTTGTGATACATATTTTAGTTTAGTTATACTTGGGAAGGAGGGGGGGGGAATTATTATTTATTTTCTAAAAGTGAATTAATGCAAATTATTACAGCCCAGGAACATACGAACATAACATAGAGAGAGGCAGAAAGGTGTCTTGGCCTGGCAGATTTGGATCCCCTGACTGGTCTTCCGTGCCCTCTTTGCAGAAGAGAACATTAAGATCAGAGGTAATTGTTTTGCTACTCTTTTGAGTACCAGTCTGTGAGTAAAAATGTTTTACTGTGAATATCTGCTAAAGGTATTATTTTACTGAATGGGGCTAGCAGATAAAGATATAAAATAAACAGTGACTGACTCTGCACAGATATGTATGTAAAAAAAAAACCCGAAAAACATTGACAGAATAGCTAGTAGTAATAGTCACACTGAACTGGACTTGTATTGTAATGTTGTGCTGCTTATCCACGCAGCTTCTTCAGCTCCTAATGAATAGCAACAGACTGTGTGGTCTAGGCCTACCCCCCAGAAACCTCTTCCATCTCCACTCTTCTATTAACTCCAGTTTTCTTTCTGCTCCCCTTCAATCTCTCTTGCCTTTTCTTCTCTGTCCCAACTAACTACAGATCTTAGGGCTGCTACTAGGGATGCACCGATACCGGTATTTTGGTACTCGCCGATATCAATTACCGAGTAACGGAAGTCCCATTCAGGAAGCCAGGTGGCGTGTAATGACTCGCCACCTGGCTTCCTGATTAGCCGGGAAGCCGGGCAGCGTGTAAAGAGTCGCCACCCGGCTTCCCGATGAACAAAAAAAGTCCCCTCTTACCTTAGTATGTGCAGCCTGTCATCCCCCGGGGCCTCTCCAGCGAGAACGCGGCCTTCGTCCGGTACCCAGCCGGAGCCGTCTAGCCGGCCAATCAGGAAGCCAGGTGCCGTGTAATGACGCGAAGCCCTGCTGTCTGATTGGCCCGGAGGCCGGCTGCATGCTCTCTTGTCATGAGATGACGAGGGAGCATGAATCCAGCTTCCCGGCCAATCAGAAAGCAGGGCGTCGCGTCATTAGACGACGCCCGGCTTCCTGATTGGACGGCTCGGGCTGGGTACCGGACGAAGGCCGCATTCTCGCTGGAGAGGCCCCGGGGTATGACAGGCTACACATACTAAGGTAAGATAACCTTACCTCACGAGGCCAGCTCGTGCTAGGCATCAGAGCATTTTGGCGAGTACGAGTACTTGCCCAAATACTCGGAATCGGCACCGATATCGATACTAGTATCGGTGCATCCCTAGCTGCTACCTTCAACCTGCAACCCTGATAAAATCATGTTCAATATGGCACCCCTAGCATAGTTATATCTGGAACCTTATTACAGTCAACATTCACAGCTTTGCTCCCCACTATGTAAGCAAAAATCCCCAGTGCCTAGTATCATCCCCGCTATCACAATCGCCTTCACGTTCCAGTCAGTATATGGTTCAACTAAATTATTACCCTAGACCCAACCCCAAACACCCCCAATGCAGTATTGTATGGTGTTTCACAGAGCAGTTTGTTCTCTTTTTCTTAAAACTACTAATAAAACTTTTTGCAATTGAAATGAATGAGCATGTATGGAAAGGCATAAATCTTTTACCCAACATATAGCTTCTCAGCTCCATCTAGTGATAGTAATGCCGTGTAAACGGCATTCGCCCAGCTATATGCTGAATGGAAGATTTCAGTCGCTTAGAATTTTATCATACTTTGTATTCCTTATGGGTTATGACTGTAAACACCTTTATTTATCTTCATTTCTTCTACAGTTACCAACAGACAAAGAATTTAGAAAAAACAGGAACCGGTTGGCATATTTGAGTCTGTACTACAGTTAACCAAATTCCCTAAGTGCAGAGACTTTATCATTAACTTTGGTAGTTTTGTGTCTGCTTTCTGTGAATTAACATTTAATATAATAATAATAATACTACAACAGATGCAAACTGTAATAAAAGTATTCTTTCATGACGTATATATGTATATTTTTTCAGCAGTAGGCAATTTTTTTATGGTAAATTATAAATGGGGCATTTTTGAAGAAGCTGAAAAATAAGGCAGCACAGTGGCATAGTGGTTAGTCTTTCTGCCTTGTAACACTGGGGGTCCCTGGTTCAAATCCCAGCCAAGTCACTATCTGCAAGGAGTTTGCATGTTCTCCCTGTGCTTGCCTGGGTTTCCTACCACACTCCAAAGACATGCTGGTATATAATTGGCTCTTATCTATATAGGCCCTGTATGTATGCATGTGAGATAGGGACCTTAGAGTGTAAGCTCCTTGAGGGCAGGGACTGGTGTGAATGTGCACATGTAAAGCACTGTGTAAATTGTCAGCACTATATACACTGAGTGGCCAGATTATTATGACCACCTGACGTTTGTAGGCAAATTAGCTCTAATATTCGTGGAGTCAATGCCAACAAGAATCATCGCAGTATTGAAGGCAAAAGGTGGCCCAACGAAATACTGAGTGTCTCTCACTCTTGATGGTGGGTGGGCGTTTATAATGTCCTTTCCCACTGGCACGCCCACGATTCCCCCACATGCAAGTGGGAAAGTTTAAACATTTTTAATAGGACTGAAATCAGCACACTTCCAGTCACCCCTCCAATCACAAAAACGGAGTGTATTACATTACTTCCGGGTTCAGTGTGTCATTTCTCCTGCTGCTGTAGCCAGAGAAGAAGCTGGTGAAGCAGATCTCTGGGGTCCGTAGGTGACATTAGGGGTCTAATGTCTCCATAAAGAGGACCTGTCACTGTATCTGTGCTATCACAGAGGGCTTGTTATGCCTGTTGGGATGCAGCATCTGTCATCATGTTTCTTGGTTTCCAAACACCCTAGTTTTGACCAGTAACACAAAATCAGATATTTATCAGTGCAAAAGAAAGCTGATCATTATAACAATGGCACGTTTTCTAGTTGATACAGAAACAGCTCTCATGTTCTATCAACATACAGTGGGTATAGAAAAGAATCAACCCCCCCCCCCCCCCTTTAAAATAATCACATTTTGTTGCTTTGCAGCCTGAAATGAAGTCAGACAGTTTTTGACTTTCAACTATGACCAGCTATGGGGGTCATTTTGATTAGCTCAGCATGAAAAGATCTTTCCTGGAGCATTTCTGTTCCTGGTAGTGCAACTGAATCAATCAACTATTGTGTAGCAAGGCACTGTCAAAAGATCTCTGGGATAACATTGTGGACAGGCACAGGTCAAGAGATGGATAGTGATGGGCCGAACACCCCCATGTTTGGTTTGAATTCAAACTTTAGAACATGGAAAAAAATTTGAATTCAAACTCAATGCAAGTCTATGGGGCTAGAACTTTGAAAATCAATTGACACCCTATTTTAAAGGCTTATATGCAATTTATTGGCCATAAAAAGTGTATGGGGATATGGGTGAACCAATTAACATTTTTTTTTTTTTAAATACAGTTTTTTTTAAAGGAGAAGTGATTTTAACATCACTTAAAGTGAAATAAAAATGAAAAATCCCTTTAAATATCGTATTACATTTTTAAACAAAAAGTGTGTGGGGTTCCCCCTCAAAGTCATACCAGGCTCTTAAGGTCTTGTAGGAATTTTGAGGAACCCCCCCACAAATAGGGCAAAAACCATGGGGGTCCCCCCTAAAATTCCATACCAGACCCTTGATCCGAGCACAGTCCTGGCCCAGGGCCGTCTTTAACGCAGGGCAAAAGGGGAGGGGTAAATGCACCTTCACTTGTGTACACAATAATCCTTGCACCGGCCCTGCCCTTGAGTCCGCAAAAGATACACCCGCACCACTCTTTACTGTGCGATCGGTATTGCAGTGTTGTTCCGCCCCTGTCGTATAGGTGAGCACATGGGCGAAATTGCATGGCGGGGGGGGCGGCGTTCTTAGTAAAGGGGTCGGGATGAGTAGGAATGGGGGAGCCCAAGAAAATGTTTGCCCAGGGTCCAATCAGTATTAAAGACGGCCCTGTCCTGGCCACATGCCCTCTTCTCTGGGAGGGTGCTTTTCTATATACTTTTACTGTATAGCCGGTGACAAATTGTTGAGTGCGTTTGTCGTTTGTCATTTTTTTGCTTGACCGATTTGGTGCAGTGACGCATGGGGGTTCTCAGCTGCCATTGGGATGTGCGGGATCCCGTGTGTTGCTGTGCCTTTGAGGTTGGGCTTCCTCCTGACAAACCTGCACCCAATTTGAAATCTTCTGCCCCCATGTGCTCCAAGATGGAGACTCTCATAGTTTAGAGTTAGGACCGCACTATAAGAGGTGCCTTGGCGCGGCTGTGCGGCTTTCACATTTTCTGCAGAAGACGTGTATCCAAACCTCTGTTAACCTTGTGGTGAGACAAGTTGTTTTACATGCTGGTTTGTGAGTGTGCCATGATACCTTTCTACTGTTTTGCTTTTCTAGGGTCGCCTTGTACTCGTGCCAATGGGGACAAGGGCCCGTTCCTCATAAGCCCTGGGGCATTGGTTGTGGGGGTGCAGGCGGGGGGGGATTATTCACATCAGGGTACCCCTTTAATAAAGGGGCACCCAGATGCATCCCCTTGTGAATGAAGGGGTACTTGTACCCCTACCCATTCACGAAAGAGTTCAAATAAATTGTAAATTAAAAGACCAGACTTCTGAAAAAAATCCTTCATTTGAAAAGTCTTTTATTGTAAAACAAACCCCCCCCCCCAAAAAAAGTATCCACCGTCAC